GGCAAGATCGACTTTATACGGATGAGCTGAAGCCTGTTCATTACGCATGTAATGAAGATTTGTTCAGGAAATGCAATACGGCAGAAGCAAGGAAGCCATAGAGTTTGCATGCGCAGTTAATTCAATCATTCTGATTGATAAACAACTAAATATATAAATAACTATAAAATTAAGTGAGGTTATTTTATAGAATAAGAACAAACGAGCACGGTCTATCTGAAAGTAAGTGGACGATGTGGCGCTTAAAACGTCTACATCCATCCTTGATTAAAAATCAAAATGTATTTAGTCCATGGGGATGAGTTGTCACCCCCATGGACTAAATACAGTAATATTAAGCTATTATTCTGTGAGAGTGTGGTCCTTCCTCGGTCGAGCCAACCCATTCATGCTACAACCATATAGCTGCAGCATGGCAGGCTTTAATGTTAAATGACCTCTCTTTACAGGTCATCTATGTGATTGTTTAATCGCTTGCCATACTACTCAATTTCAATCACAGTTTTTTTCACCAGCAGTTTCCGAATTTGGAGGAAAGTCAGAAGTTTAAGCCCAAACGCATAGACACTTACTAATCCACACCTGAATTCAGACCTTTGTTTCAGTGTCAGTGATACTGGAACAATCACGTCACACCCTGATCTCAAAATTTGGACGTTGTGCTTTTAAACGAGTGATGGATGGATGATGACGAGTGACGCAGTCTTGGTAACTAGAGACTATCTTCTAACGTGACCAGACTGCAGATGTTTTATGTTTGCAGTATGGATTGGACATATCGAACGGCTTTCATATAATACAAGCATATATTTTCAGTACAATGCCGCTGTATTGCGTTTGTTGTGGGACGGGAAACGGAGATATTTTTACTGATAACAAGGCTCTTCATCTTAGACTCTTATCGAGGGTAGATGTAGGCATTCACATCTAGTGGACTATGTACTTGTTCGTCATACCTACTTGTATAATAAGATCATGACTGCCTCGTTGGTCTAATTTGGTTGGATTATAGTAGTGCGACTGCTGATCATGAGATCCTGGGTTCGAATCCCGGGTCGGGCCAAAAAAGTTCTCAGTAGCTTCCTGGAGTCAGGAAGTTGGCGGTGTCTTACTCCTGTGCCTCGGAAAGCACGTAAAACCGTTGGTCCTGCGCCTGATCTCTTTCCGGTCGTGTCGGTTTACCGTCCCATCGGATTATGAGAGTGAGGGAATAGTGAGTGCTACCTGTGCTTGCGCATACACTTTTTTTTTATAGGATAGGGTGACAAACGAGCACACAGTCCACCTGATGGTAAGTGGTTGCTGCGGCCCATAGACATCTACATCTATCTTCCATTACAAATCAAAATGCAGATGCGTTGTCACCCGTGAGGACTGAGATGGAATACCTCATTTCCAGTAAAAAGGGTCTCCGGTTCTCTACACTCACCATACGAAATACAGCAGCATTAAGCTACTATTTCACGCTGGTATTCTGTGAGAGCGTGGTCCTTCCCCGGTCGAGCCGATCCACTTGTGCTACAACTATACTACCAATATAACTGCAGCATGGCTCTACCACGTATAAAGACTAGAACCCTCCTGGCATTGCTCAGTCTCGTGTCATCTGTCAGTTCGTGAAGCTTCACCACAATCGGTTCAGCCATTCCAAAAATTAGCCCGTATAGACGGACAGACAAAACTTTTAAAATGGTTATTTATGTCAATATCACGTAAGTAGCTCCCTAACCGTGATAGAAGCAAATTATTTCAATATTAGATGCAACACTTAAATTTTGTTTATATGTATGGATCTCTAGTTGAAAGTGAAATACAGCTTTGTTAATATACTGTACAAACCAAAATTTAATGAATTATGGTGGGATTTCAACACCTTTTATACGTCGTAGAGCCACGCTGCAGCTATATTATGGTTGTAGTATGAATGGGTCGGTTCGAAAGGGGAAGGACAACGCTCTCACAGAATACCAGCGTAAAATAGCAGCTTAACGCTGCTGTGTTCGTATATAAAGTGCAGAGAACCGGAGATCCTTTTTACTGGAAACGCGGCATTCCATCTTAGTCCTCACGGGTGACAACGCATCTGCATTTTGATTCGTAATCAACAGCAACCGCGTACCATCAGGTGAACTGCGTGCTCTTTGTCACCCTATTCTATATAAAAAAATGTTCTTTCGTCCGATAGGGGCATGGTATGGGCTGGTATTCTATGAGAGCGTGGTCTTTCCCCGGTCGGGCGGACCAATACGTGCTACAACTATACCAGTATTATAGTTGCTACATGGTTGTACCACGATAAAAGTATTAAAGTTATATTTCCGTAGGCCGTGTCTAACTTGAGGTAATGTTATGTATTTAGAACAAGGCTAGTCTTTGTAGGCCAACGCCACCCCTAACCTAGTTTAGGCTTTAGTTTCGCATGTAATTTTATTTGCAATCAATTTAATTTTTGTCCACGTTCCAAAAACGACAAGGTTCTAAGATGCGTACGTTTTTTTTCGTAAGTTTACTCATTTTTTGAAAATGGCTGAACCGGTATTAACGATTCTTCTTTTCGTTACTAGCGATCCCGGCTTCACACGGCTTATTTCTGAATCTCGACGACAGTTCCATCTATCGGGGCCAATTGTGAATCGTTCAGATCATCCAGGGACCCTTTCAAACACACACAAAAACCTGATCAAAGTCGGTCCAGCCATTTTCAAGATTTTGCGAGACAAACGGTCAGCAATAGATTTTTATGTATAGACATTGTATACTCGAAAGAAAAAAAGGGATGATGATTTGAAAGTACTCGTTACTATTTAGACGAGTTGTCTAAATGTACTCGACATTCGTCTAAGACGACGTAGTTGACCTGAAACTATTCCCTAGTTTATTTTTTTAAAGAATATTAAAAATGTTATAAACTTTACTAATATTCCACTTAACCACTCGTGTTAAGCTTAAATTGCTTGTGTTACGAGTGGTTCACGCCAGTAGTCAAATGGCGGGTTCGAACCCACGATCTTTTTGAGTTCGCGGTCCGCGCCCTGCCATTAGGCTACTGTCGCTTTACTATATTGATATTATTAAAAAAGTAAAAATATTTTAAAAAATAATTTCGGCAAAGTATCTTCTGATCTATGAACTTTGTTTCTTTGATACTCTATGTACAACCGATTCAGAAGCCATTATGTAGAAATTATTTCTTTTTTATTTTTAAATTCGGTTTTACTTTTTTAAATTTATTATTGTAACTTATGTTTTCTTTTTAATCTAAAATCTAACTCAACATTTTTATATAAAGTTTTTTGCGTTATGTATTTTACTACGTTTTTAGTAAGTCACTTTCTTGTGTACTGTCTTTGCAACTCAAATTTCAAACACTTCCCGATGAGTTAGAGACTTGAAATTTTGAACATAGCTCAGAATTGGAATTAAAAGGTTGGAATATAAAAAAGTAGTATAGTTTTTTTAGTACAAAATAAAAAAAATCATTGTTCATATTGATTGGCTGGCTTGTTTTCTTTATCTTCTCTTAAGGACATGAGCATTTATTATTTTAGAAATGATTTGTCGTCATCGCCACGTTTGGCAAGTCGATTGGCAACCGCAGAGTTAGATGACTCGTGTGTTTGCCACCCACCAATGGTTAGGATTTTTTACATTTGATATATTTTTTTATAGAATAAGGGTGACAAACGAGCACACAGTCCACCTGATGGTAAGTGGATGCTGTGGCCTATATACATCTACATTAATCCTTGATTAAGAATTAAAACGCTGGTGAGTTGTCACCCCTGAGGACTAAAGACGGAATGCCTTGTAACCAGTAAAAAAGGGTCTCCGGATCTCTACACTCACTATACGAAACACAGCAGTATTAAGCTGCTATTTTACGCTGGTATTCTGTAAGAGCGTGGTCCTTCCCCGGTCGAGCCGACCGATTCGTGCTACAACTATAATATATCTGCAGCGTGGCATTACCACGTATAAAAAGATATCATATGAGACGGTAACTATCATCATCATTCAGGGTTCATCATCATCATCACCTGTGTAACCAAAGGTAGGACACAAAGTGTGTGATAGTCATCATTCATCATTGTAATTTATCAAAATTATTTAAAATGGGTGATAATACTACTAACTAGCCGTGGTAGCTCAGATGGTTAGCACTCGCTGTAAATTTCACAGTACGCGAGCAACCCGGGTTCGATCCCCGGCGGCACCAATGAAATTGCTAAATACAATTTTAAGTGCTGATTGACAATGCTCGGCAGTGAAGGAAAAACTTGAAAAACATTTCAAGACGTGAAAATCACCAACACGCATTGTGGCATCGCGGCGGACAATTCCTTGCCCTAAAACTCTCTAGATATGAGGGGAGGCCTGTGCCCAGCTGTGAGACGTATATAGGCTGTAACTTTAGATTTAACTTTACAAAATCTGTTATAACCGTCTTGTATATAGAAACGCAGTAGAACCAGAGTGACCGACATAGCGCAACGGATTAGTAAGCTGAAGTAGCAATGGGCTGGCCATATAGCTCGAAGAACCGACAAACGATAGGAAAACAAGGTTCTCGAGTGGCAGCCTCGTACCGGTAGGCGTAGTGTAGGGTGACCCCCCACTAGATGGAGTGACGACCTGGTAAGACATACGGAAAGTCGATGGATGTAGGTGGCTTAGGACCGTGCTTTGTGGTATTCTTTGGGGGAGGCCTATGTTCCGCAGTGGACTTCTGAAGGTCTGTAGTGATGATGACGATGATGATGATGCTATAGAAACAGATTTTTACGTTAATATTTGTAATAATTAACAGTCGGACTAGCAAATGCAATTTTGTGTTATTTTTAGTTTTCATCAATAAGATACTAGTCTCAACTCCTATTTCGTTTCCGACTATCGCCTCATACGACGCCTAAAGTGAAAAAATACATAGTAGTTTCTCTTACACCGCCACTACACGTATATAAGGTGTATGTTTATATAATATCTATTTACCTTCTTTGCAGGTGACTGACCTCTTCACACAGATGCGGGAGCCTTCCCCAGGGGCTCCAAGCCCAAGAGGGTCTACAGGGTCTCTGAACAATGGTGCGGTCACACGGAACTTTGGCTTCCAACAGCAGAACGGCTCTGAACACCTGCCCTGGAGTAGTCCCGCGATCTCTCTGCCCGGGAATTGTAATTCAAACTTGTAAGTAATGCTCCAATATTTGAATTATATGGGTTTTCTGTGCAGATATGTCCTTCACAAAAAATATTTGAAAAAGATTTTGAAGTTGACTTACCGTTTAAGAATACACTACAGCATATCATCCCGAGGGTGTCGTAACTGGCGATAGAGAGGGGGGAAAATCAGAAGATGGGCAGCAGCGTCTTCCTAATAGCTACTTAAAATAAAAAAACTGCGGTTGCCAACCCGCTTGCCAAGCGTGGCAACTATGGCAAATATCACCCCTATGAGGCAGTATATGGGGGAGGTTTATGTTCAACTGCGGTATTTAAAAGGCTGTTATGGCAACAGTAACGGTAGAAGTTGACTCACATCATAAAATAAGCAAATGAATTAAAAAATTATTATAAATTAAATTTATAATAATATGTTTGTGGAGAACTTCAATATCTTCATACAAAACACATTTTACCGTATTTTGAAGTATTTTTAGCAGACTTCAAAATGGAGCAGTTCTCAATTCGAATAATATCTTCGTTTGTTACGTGATCGATGTATATTCACACAATGGCGAACCGATTTTTAAAATTCTTTTTTGCTAGTTAGGCCATACTTTTCTTTATAGGATGGAGTGACAAACGAGCACACCGTCCACCCGATGGTAAGTGGTTGCTGTGGCCCATAGACATCTACATCTTCCCTCGATCACGAATCAAAATGCAGATGCGTTGTCACCCGTGAGGACTAAGATGGAATGAATGAAATCCTTTCCAATGAAAAGTGTCTCTGGTTCTCTACACTCACCATACGAAACACAGCAACATTAAGCTACTATTTCACGCTGGTATTCTGTGACAGCGTGGTACTTTCCCGATCGAGCCGACCCATTCGTTCTACAACTATACTACTAATATAACTGCAGCATGAGTCTACCACGTAGAGGGTTGTCTTATTAAAATTCGATGAAACTAACCCCCCTAAAGGTGGGGCAAAAGGGGATGATGTTTAAATGTTATTGAGATGCGACGTTTTGGTTGTTGCCTACAGATGTGATATACTCGTAGTTTAGTTGACACAAAAGTCAAAAATTAAATTAAACTTTATGCATGGTAGAGCCATGCTTCTGCTATATTAGTAGTTTAGTTGTAGCATGGAGCCGTGGTAGCTCAGATGATTAGCGCTCGCTGTAAACTTACAGTATGCGAGCAAACCGGGTTCGATCCCCGCCGGCACCAATGAAATTGTTAATTGCAATTTTAAGTGTTGATTTACCACGTGCTCGGCGGTGAAGGAAAACATAGTGAGAGGAAAACCTAGATGCATGTCTGAGGAAAAAGAAAAAAATATTTCGAAGACATGTGAAATTCGCCAACACGCATTGGGGCAGCGTGGCGGACAATTCCTTGCCCTAAAACCCTCTCAGAAATGAGCGGAGGCCTGTGCCATGGAGTGGGACGTATATAGGCTGTAACTTGTAGCACGAATGGGTCGGCTCGACCGGGTTGGACCATGCTCTCACAGAATACCAACGTTAAATAGCAGGTTGATGCTGCTGTGTTTGTGTACACTTTTACTGGAAACAAGGCATTCCATCTTATTCCTCAGGGTAACAACGCGTTTGGTTTTGATTCTTAATCTGATCTATATGGACCACAGCATCCAGCTACCATCAGGTGGACTGTGTGCGCGTTTCTCACCCTATCCTATAAAAAAAAAACAAGAATAAAATATTTTCTACATAATATATGCTATGCTCAGACAAATGCATCCAAGGATTAAGGTCCCGTGTTCAGATGTTAGTAAATTACGTGTTTTATTATTAATTAGTGTTTTAATTTTATTATTTTCAGTTTCTTGAAGTTTATTTTGACCTATTTTTAAGTATTTAAAATTTTCAATTTGAATATAAAGTTCAATATTTATTCGTTGTGTGTTGTTTTTTTTATTCTAAAATTATTTAGAAATAGAATTAAAAAAGAATTTCATCACAGACAGCTTTACTCAGAAAAAGCGTTTTCGGTATATTATCTAAAATCTGTAATAGGGTCCATCTATGTTTCATGAAATGGAAAATATTCAGAAATTTAAAAAAAGAATTTAAAACATTTCTAATTGAGAAATGCTTACTACTCAATCGATGAATATTTAAGTGACGCATCAGTGGGCATATTATAATGACATTGCATAAAATATAATTCATTTTGCATTCGATTAGATTATATTTTAGTGTAAATATCCGATTCAAATTATTAATCATTGTTGAATTTTCTTATATAATTATAATTAATAAAATGAAATAATTGTGGAAATGTAATATATTTAATTGTAACTGTGATATTTGTATACCTAAGGGTTGAATGCAGCGAACATATTTAAAAAAAAAGATATATTCTGTTCTATTACCTGTATTCACAAATAAAATAAATTTGAATTTGAAAAAAAAAGAAGTTAATTTGGTTATAATATGTAGCCTTAGTACACAACGAACTCTTTGGCGTCATTTCAAGAAAGGAGAATTCACTCCAAAGTGATTCGCCAAGAAATGAAAGGTCAAGGAAGCGACTTCCAATTTGGTTGACATGTTTAATTAACCATCTCCATTGTAGGTAAGGAGGTCGATCTTATACTTTGGATTACGTGACCTTTGTGTGTGATGCGCGTTGTATTCGTTTATGCAGATTAGGTCCGTAATTAAAGAATTTTTTTTGTGGGAATTTCAGAAATGTAGTAGTGTTAACTTTTAAAAATACTGATATCAAAGATAAAATAAAGGTAAAAGGCATAGGCACAAAACAGTTGCCTCAATTCCCTTTTATTAATTCATCATCATCATCATCATTACAGCCCTTCACAAGTCCACTGCTGAACATAGGCCTCCCACAAGTAATGCCACAAAGCACGGTCCTGAGCCACCTGCATCCATCGACTTCCTGCATATCTTACCAGGTCGTCACTCCATCTAGTGGGGGGTCGCCCTACACTACGCCTACCGGTACGAGGCTGCCACTCGAGAACCTTTCTTCCCCATCGGTTATCGGTTCTTCGAGCTATATGGCCGGCCCATTGCCACTTCAGCTTACTAATCCGTTGGGCTATGTCGGTCACTCTGGTTTTACTGCGGATATCCTCATTTCTGAGTCTATCACGCAAAGAAACTCCGAGCATAGCCCTCTCCATAGCTCGCTGAGCGACCTTGAGCGTCCTCATACGGCCAGCAGTGAAGGACCACGTCTCAGATCCGTAAGTCATCACTGGCAACACGCACTGGTTGTACAATTTAGTTTTTAGAGATTGAGGTATACCTGACGAGAAGATATGTCGTAATTTCCCGAACGCTGCCCAGCCGAGTTGAATCCGTCGATTGACCTCTCGGTCGAAGTTGGACTTACCTAGTCGGACTATTTGTCCCAGGTAAACATACTCGTCAACAACTTCGAGCATAGTGCTCCCAACAACTACCGGCATAGGTGTGACATGGACATTAAACATGATCTTTGTTTTGTCCATGTTCATCTTAAGACCTATCCGTTGGGAGGCACTATTGAGGTCATTGAGCATAGTGCTTAAGTCCTCCAGCGATTCTGCCATAAGGACTATATCGTCGGCAAATCGAAGGTGAGTGATGTACTCGCCATTGATGTTAATACCGTATCCTTTCCAGTCCAGTAGCTTGAAAACGTCTTCCAAAGCAGCGGTGAAGAGTTTCGGGGATATAACGTCACCCTGTCTTACACCTCTCTGCAGTTGGATAGGTTTCGAGCTCTGGTTCTGTACTCGGATAGCCATCGTAGCCCTACTGTACAAACACTTCAGCACTTCGATATACCGACAGTCAACTTGGCAGCGCTGAAGGGACTGCAGCACCGCCCAAATTTCGACGGAATCAAAGGCTTTCTCATAGTCACACATACGCCAGGCAAAGTGGCAAATTGTACTCTTCTGTACAATCTGCCGCAGGGTATGTATGTGGTCTATGGTACTGAAGCCTTTTCGGAAACCGGCTTGTTCGGGAGGCTGGAAGTCGTCGAGTCTGCGTGCGAGACGATTCGTAATGACTCTCGAAAACAGCACGTAGACGCGGCTCAGAAGGGAAATCGGTCTGTAGTTCTTCAAGAGAGCGTTGTCGCCTTTCTTAAAGAACAAGACCAACGCACTTCTGCTCCACGCCTCTGGAGTAGTGCCACCAGGGGGACGGAATTGAAGAGCTTCTGAAGGACTTCCAGTACCGGTGTTCCACCCGCTTTCAGAAGCTCCGCTGTAATTCCATCCTCGCCTGGGACCCTGCCGTTTTTAAGGTGCTGGAGAGCCATTCTAATCTCGCTTAGACGTCCGGGATATCATCGGAATAGTGTCGGATAAGACTTGCTCTTGAATCGTTACTCACACTTGCGTGTGGCTCCAACGATGATGTGTACAGCTGCCCATAGAACCTCTCAATCTCACTCAACATCTCAGGTGTCCCGGAAACGATGCTGCCACATTCAGTCTTCAGCTTTGACAGTTGGCTCTTTCTGGCAGACAGATCTCTGGCGTTTATTAATTATAATAACATTACCGTTCGTTTGAGACTCTTATAAATAATATTATAATGGTAAATGAGCTAGTTCGGATTAATTTCAGCCGCCAATTTTTTGAAAACGCACATCGAGTCAAAATTCACAATTCCATCCACACCATCTGGATGCTTGGCGGTCCACGACTGTGCGTTTCACTAGAATTTTTCTTCCTCCTACAACTTCTCCGTGGAACTGTTTACCACCGGCGATTTTTCTGGACTGATACGACTAAGGGGCCTTCATAAAAGAGCTTACTCCGTTTTAAAAGGCCAGCAACGCACCTGCAATTCCTTAGGTGTTAGGGTTATTCATGGGTGGCGGTAGTCACTTATCTTCAAGTGAGCCGCATGCTCGTTAGCTCCCCTCTTCTATAAAAAAAATAATACTAAGCGGGTAATGTAGTCCACGGATACACAAGTTGCAGCCAACTTTACACAAATTATTTACTAAATGGAAGGAGTCTGT